ATGCGTGATCGCACTGGGTGTCTCGTGGAGGCTGCGCAATTTGCGCTTGTCGACCGCTGCGACAATGGTGAATGTAGCCTAGTACGCCCGAAAGCGCATCTCTGACCTGTAGTTGCCTAATGTAGTTGAGCGTATAGTACGGGTATTAAGTAAGAGCTCGAACTATTCGGACATGAGGGTTGTGTGGCTCTACACTGAGCCCAAAACGTAAAGATAGGAATGTGGCATACAGCGTGGTTGCAAGGCCAGCCGCACAGCCGGCCTTACACCTCCCGGGAGGTTCAAATTCTAACCGTCCGCAGTCAGACCTCGTTTTTGTTGTAGATTTTAGGGCTTGTATGCTGTAAGCAAGGGAACATGGTGTCAAGGGAGTGGGAGACGAAGGGTAGCGGATAAGGGATGAGTGAGTTCAGCCGCAGGTGCCAAAACATTGATGCTTGATGAGACCTGACGCCGCCTGGGGTCACTTGTCAGATTAACATTTTTGGGCGACCTGACGGAAGGCATGTTTGATGTGGAGAGGGGGCACTCCGCGGCGTGAAGGTGACTGTTCTGGACAATACCATTACGGTCTGTCAGGACGAACACATCTTAGGTGATCGAGGACGTAGTTGGGAATTGGATATAAGTTTGTGGTGAAACCCATTCTCTAAAGTTTCGACGTCGCTAGTTTCTATCATAACCAGCTTGTTCGCATCCAGAGCCCAAGAATTGTCCTTGCACATACAGTCGTGGTGCGGAAACCAGCGACAATAACGTAGAATATATGGCCCAGGGTTGGACCTACCTTTGTGCAAAGTTCCGCAAATTTCCCGTCAGCTCAGACATTAGATGGATCAAGCTACTAGTAAAAGCAATCGCTGGCTGAGAGGCCTGTGCTTATGTAAAGTCATCTCCATTTGGATTTGAGGATCCTCGATGTGAGTGGAAACCAAGGAAGCATATGCGGCCTCCGTCTTACCATTCAAAGTCCTTTATGTTTCTCGGATCTCAGAGCAGGGTATTGAGGCGCTACAGTAACTCGATGACGGTATTCTTTTCGACTTCGATATATCCCAAGGGTAAGAGTGGCATGTATGCGATGCAACGACTGTACAATTTGTTGCACTCCAACCTGTGAGATAGATAACACCTATCTCTCGCTTTATAAATTTCTTCACCACTAGAAAACAACTTACCACTCCTTTCTTGAATCGCCTTCCAGCTTTCATCATGGATAGATCAGAGACGAATACAAAGCCTCCAACGGTACCACCCAAGACGCTTTGGCGCCTCAGCACCAAGTACAGAATCCAATAAGCCTCTCCTTGTTCGTGATGACCTTCAGCCGTCCGAGTTGCGGCGCTCTGGCGGAAACTGTTTTCACGAAGGTGGCAGGCGAGCAGGGAAGAATGCATTCAACTTTGAAAAGCCTTGGATATTTAAGCCTACTCAGGCGGGTGGGTGTGGATAGTCCTTCTAACATAGTAGCTAGTACTAGGCAGACTTTGCGTTGCCTTACAGGAGGTCTTACCCGTGGCGGCCAGGAGGACCTACCTATGGGCAAGGCTCGCTTCTTGGACAAGGTTATCGGAAAGTCAGAAAAGGTTGGGTACCAATAAACGCAAGCTTCATAATTCTGACATCTTGATACACAGGTCATTGGGAAAGCCACTCAGAATGATGATATGCAGGAAACCGGTGAACTCCGTGAAGCAGGTGGGTTATTGGCGAGGCATGCGCACCACATGACTAGAGTGGCGATGTCCACGACGTTTATGTTGATACAAAGATGATCTATGGTGTTAAAGTCTTGTAAAAGACGATGAAGTGACACAGGCAATCTGTCAAGCCATGTGTGATTATGTAATGATCTGAAATGGCAGTACAACCAATCCCGTTCTGAATTTTACCTTGTTGCCACTAGGGAAATGCCAACGTTGTCGTCGGCGGTCTTGCTTGCCTGCGATCTTACTCTACCCGCCTCCCATCGTCATATAATTCATCTCTCACCTCGCATCTGTAGCAGTTGTACCAGTGCGGCGGGGAGCGGTACCTGAGTCTCACTCTCCGAGTCCACCGTTCCTTGTATTTGTCGGAGATAAAAGAGGTTGAGAGGTGGCAACAGCCATAGATTGTCCCCACGTCAACATTCGAAAGGTTCCGAGATCAAACAAATCTAAAGTTCATCGCAAAATGAGGAGTATACTGTGGAAGAGGACAGGCGGGGCAAAGGCACGAAGAGGAGAAAGAAGCGAGCAAGCATGTAATTAGACGGTTGACATATGGCAGAACAAGGGTTCTTGACACGAAACCACGACTCGGGTGGCACATGCCTCTCCAACTGTCGGAAAATATCGAACGGGCAAGCCGGGGAATCTGAGAAAAGAAAAAAAGCTTACGTAACCCTTTGATGGTTCCTGCAAGGCATGGCGAATATTGACCTACTTCAAGCTTCGGGCGGACCTGAACAGTGAGTATCGTGACAAGCGGAAGGATCGAGTCATTGCTAACATGACCGTCGGAAAGGGTGCGTAACATGTTTTTCATTCGATAGAACATTTTCTCTGAAATCTCTCTTTCAGGATGTCAGCGGTCTCTTTACGGACGTTTCAAACCGAAATATCGAGAAAAAAAGGCTGGTCTATCTCCATCTCATCAACTATGCAAAAACACAACCCGACCTAGTCATCCTTTCCGTGAATACATTCGTCAAAGATTCCGATGACCAGAATCCACTCATCCGCGCGCTGGCTATTCGCACCACTGGCATGGGCTGTATCCGTGTGGAGAGGATTATCGATTACCTCGCGGGCCCGCTACAAAAGTGCTTACACGACGAAAACCCCTACGTGCGCAAGACGGCCGCCATATGTGTTGCCAAATTATATGATCTCAAGCCGGAGCTAGTGTTAGAGAATGGCTTCCTGCAACAACTTCACGAAATGATCTCGGACAGCAACCCGATGGTACTTGTATTTTGCTGGTATTCGCGTATCACCGTCTGATCCACCCTAAAGGTCGTCGCGAACACCGTCTCTGCGTTGGCAGATATTCACACATCGGGAACCTCGCAACCCCCCACTTCATCTTCAGACCCTGCCATTTTCACTATCACGTCTACGATCTTGAACAAGCTCCTGATCGCGCTGAACGAGTGCTCGGAGTGGGGTCGTGTCCATCCTGTTTGCTCTGGCCCGGTATGAGGCTCAGGACGAGAAGGAAAGTGAGCATATATGCGAACGTGTGGTTCCATAGTTTCAGCACGTGAACGCGAGCGTCGTTCTCGGCGCCGTTAGGGTGAGTTGTTCATCGATACTTGTTGCCTAGGAGTACGCGCATAACGTGCCTGCAGGTAATCATGATTCACATGCGCAACGTGAGCCGTGAAGATTTCAACAAGCAACTGATCCGAAAAATGGCCCCACCCTGGTGACTCTGCTGTCTTCTCCGCCAGAAGTGCAGTGGATTGCGTTGCGAAACATTAATTTGCTTTTACAAAAGCGTAGCGATATTCTCTCGAATGCGGGTCTTTTTCTGCAAGTACTTGTACGTCAAGGTGGAAAGCTGGACATCATGGTTCACTTGGCAACAAGAACATTGACGTGATATTCCGAATTTGACGTCAATTTCGTGAGGCGAAGCATAAAGGCTATGTGGTCAAGCTGTGGTGAAGATAGAGGCTGGGCCTAATCGGAGTGTCAATGTACTCTTGGGCCTTATCGCGACTCGGGTCAGCTACGTAGTGCAGGAGGCCGGTTGTGATCCTGAAGGTTTTCTCCCTCGCTAACGTGCCCAGCATACCGCTGATAGCATATTTTCAGGATATATTTCGCGGATATACAAGCCGTCATCCCTACTCTTTGTGCGAATTAGAAGAGCCCGAAGCAAAGCGTCACTTGTCTGGATCATCGGCGAATATACCAGCAAGATTGATAACGCCGACGAACTCTTGGGCACATTCGTGGACACATTCACAGAGGAGTCCTATTCTGTGCGAGCTCCGGTCACTTTCGGGCGCGTCATCGCTGACCCACGTGCACATGTAATAGGTACAGCCGCAGACGCTCACCGCGGTCGTGAAACTCTTCCTGTACAAGCATGACACATCTCAGGGTTTAGTTCAGTGTGTACTGACACGGCGATGAAGGACTGCGATCCCCCTGATGTTCGAGATCGCGCTTATATATACTGGCGTCTTCCATCAACCGATCCTGGCGCAGAGAATGTAAGCGATCTGGGAGCAGAGAAGCTAAGCGATCCGGGTTCCATCGTATCTGGGACTCTTTCTCATGTGCTCTTTCAACGGTCTGTCGATCTTGCACATCGACATCCCTGCCTCGCACTACCGTCATGCCTGCATTATTCAACGAATTGATTAGAGTTTAGCGAGCGTATATCAGAAACCGGCATCGATGTTCATCGGCCACGGACGGGTCGGCGCCGAATCCATACAGCGCAATGGGGCAGAGTGAGTTATTCGTCTTCCTAATTTGTATGCACGTCTTGACGACGCCTATCTATACTATCGCCCACCAGAGGTTCGTAATCACCAGCGGTTCGTAATCTTCACATATCTCAGTGCGCACTGCCTCAATCAACACCGGCTTTGATTTATAGCATGTAAAGTACCATATAAACATATTCCAGGTAAAAATAGAGCAGGATCTTGAGCTGAAAATGTATTCCTTTTTTGACCTTTGTCACGCTGGCCGTTGTTCTGCCGTTTCGGACTTTCAAATTGAAGTGCTCGTTATGGCTAGTTGCAAATCGCCTCGCTTAAATTTTGTGTTTATATGCCAAACAAATGTAATCGGGATTGACTCAAACGGTGAGCCACGGAGCCTATTGAATTGACTGTGCACGCGATCCTCCCCGTTTTGCACGCCATGACCTTTGTTGTCCCTTCCCTTTGTTGCCTGGCCACAATTGGTACTTAGAAAGGTGAAAATAAAATAAGAAAGATATGTCCATTATCCAAGTATCATACAAAAAATTGTCCTACAGTTAGTTTGGAACAATGGCCATGGTAGGATTTGAACCCAGGACTCCTCTGGTCAGGCTCGTGGAAAAAAGGCACATTAACCACTGAACTATTTAGCCACGAAATTTTGTCCTGAATTATCATATATATCGAGCCGATCAAAGAGTGCTGTATATGGAAGGTCACTTGATTATTCAATGTCATTTGCTAACGGCGTTCAAGCGAGCGAACGGCCTAAAAGACCGTCCCGTCGTCACGTGAAAGATCCCTGTGAAGCGGAGTCTCAACCTCGCCGCTGTCACACCGTGACAGTACGAACCTCTGGTGGATTACGAACCTCTGGTGGACGATAGTACAGCCTTGCCGATTCCGCCAAGACCGGCGTCTGAGAATCTACTCGACTTTGACGACCAACCTGCACTGGAACAACCGACGGGCCTCGCGGCTACGCAAGTACTGCAGCAACCCGCGGCAAAGAACATCCTGTCTGGTACATCGACCAACCCACTAGACAAGTTGGTGTCCATCTTTGGAAACACGTCCATGTCACAAATGCTATAATCGTGTCGTCGGGGATGCCCAGTAGTAGCAGCAGCAGTACGGTGGATCCATTCGGCGGGTTAGGCGGCATATCTTCGCCAACGGTAGCACCGCCAACAAGAGGATCTCCTTGGGTTATTCAGGTTAGTAGCCAGGCGAAATCGAATTTGACTGCGTCAGTCCTTGATGCGTTGCAAAAAGCCGTAAGATGTGATGAAATAGTGACGGTGTTCGCCCATTCAAATTACTACACTAAGCTATATCCGGCTATACCCTCGTATATTACTGTACTGTACCTCGGAACGTCAGTCCTTGATACTGATAATAGCCAGGTTCAAAGTTGAGCCGCGACTTTCGCGGTCGCGGTTGGGGTCGCGGTTGGGGCTCGGTAACAATGCGAACTATGAATTAATGCTTATGTGATGAGCCCCAACCACGACCCCAACCATGACCGCGAAAGTGGCGGCTCAAGCTTTGAACCTGGCTAAAAGTGAGGCCAGGGCCGCCAGGATAGCCGGCCGTGTGAAGCTGCTAGTTCACGTGATTGCCATTTTGGTCCAGATTTTGGTTGAGAATTACCATTGAGCTTCTGTGATCGTAATGACTCGGATGCTACTCACGCGATGAATCCCATCGCATGTTTCTTCGTGTCCAACTGTCCCAGGAGACTACTGACTAATAGGAAAACTTTCTTGATCGGACCGTGTCACTTTTGCTGAGCGAGTACATCAACATTTTCTCATCCATCGAATCTTCATTTCTGCTGATCCTTTGCGGCCAAAGGGGTTCAAGTTATCGGCTTCGACACCTCCCGTGACCTGACGTGCCTCCACCCCCCCCTACGATACGCTAACTAATTTTTGCCTCCTTTGGACCTTTGCAGTCTACAGAAATGGGGAGGAAGGGACTTCCTGACCAGAGCTGGAGCCCCCCGGGGGGTGGTCTCGATCTGGTGAACAAAACTCCGTCTGACATGAGAAAATGGTCATGAAAATGCGTTCTGATGAGCTTGGTTACTCGCTCCCCCTCGGTCACCAGACTCAGTTCAACTCCGCTCTCCCGTAGCATGACAGCATGGGAACCATGGGACTATTGTTCCCAGGACATTATACGAAATACTTGTGATCCATCACATGCGATAGATATCGTCTGTGGTGCTCATCGGTTTTTGATAGCGGCTTCGTGCTGTCTGGGACTCATGCGGGTCTATAGTATTTCCTGATGAAATATCTGAGGGCTGCGCCCCTATTACATTGCCAATGACGTTACCAGTGGCGGAGAGCGTGGGGTGCCAGCGTACAATCTGGTATAGTGGATGATGGCGCTTCGAAGGGCGTGACGCCGCAATGAGGACGAACGTACGACAACAACAACCATATTAGGTAGGTATTCATCCGTTACTGCGACTTCTCAGCCTCATAGTCATATGTCTAAGCACGTTACCACAGAGATCTAGGATGCGTCTGGACACGATGAGTGCGCGTTCCCCCCACAGATACTACTAGTGGCAGACTCGACCCAAAGACTGTTATCATATCATAGACCGCAGTGGCGACAAAGACTCCGACCACCGATCGAATCTTTATCCACTGCCAGTGGATGAAGATTCCATCGGTGACAAATGTGGGGTACTCGCTCTGAAAACGTGAGTCTCGGAGGGTTCAATCAAACAAGCTTTCCTAGTCAGCTGGAGCCACACATGACATTTCCAGTGAAGCACACATTTAAAGCCGAATAAAAATTTCCTGGTGCTAGTTGACACTTCTCCTCCGAGTCCTACCGCCCTCAGGCTCTCCTCGAATTTTGTGTTCTCTAAATCTTCACATTCGACTCATGCATTTTACTCCAATCCTTCCCATTTTTCTACTAGCCCTGGGCCATGCTTGCAAGTCATCCTCTGACCTCGGTGTGACAGATGCTGATGAGATACAACCGTTTTAGCACTCCTGGCTTTTGCTACTCCCTTGGGTCGAGCTGTGGCTCGGAGCCCCTTGCTCGAAGACAGGTACTGCGAAACCGGATTCTGCAGGGGAGATGAGGTGCAGTACGTCTCTTTAAGAACAACAATATGGATACTTACCGTGTTGTCGAGCCCGGGGAACCGTCTTCAATGGCATCCGTAGTATGGTCCACAATCCCTACTACTTCCGCTTCTTAGGGATCAGCATGGGTGAACCTGTGTATGCTGAGAGGCTGAATGAGGACACATTGGACCTTATCATTCACAGTATGCTTACCCTTCCCTGATGACATCTTTCCCTTGTTGTATCACCTTCTTGCCAGTGTGTTGTAAGTTGTAACTGTTGTTGTCTTGGCTTGCTATTTTTCTTGAATTGTTATTGTCTTGGATACTTTGTATTGTTGTGCCTCTTTTGATACAAGAATTAGTGGTGTAGGCCTTAGCTGGTAGCTTGTACCCCAGCTTTGGCTTTAACCTCAATTGACTTCTGTTACTCTCCTACCTGAGCACTCCTCTCATCTCTAACCCTCTCACACACCCTAATAAGCCTGAAACATTGTCCTTGACTGGTGGTGTTCATTTATTATGTCACAAAGGTTACTGTCATTCCTTTGCCATCATGGATACACCAGTTGGGGAATAAGTCATTCTCATGCCATCTGAGGCCTGGGGTCATACCAGAGTCGATATGTAATTAGTTCATCAATCATCCACGGCATACTAGTATACAGTATGATACGTACTATACAGTATAATATATCGGTATAAGGAAACCCATCTCGGCCCACGGGAGCCGCATGGGTCGGAGTTAGGCAACAAGACGACTCACAAGATATCCCGGCGAAGACTCGGACTCTTTTGGCGTAAAGTGCCATCGACGAGATTTCTGGCCCCGACGAACAAGGGTCGCCACCAAGCGCGTGTTCAGCAATCTGGTCTTCGAGGCAATTTCTTGACCCAGAATGATTGCGAAGGAGGACCAAGGCTCGATCCACGGCTGTTGGCAACGTCAGAACGTCGTCAGGAATAATGCCGCAGCGAAGGTCATAGAGAATCCGCTGGATGACCTTGATGAGGGTCCTCCGAGTGCGACTGGGAATCTTCATATTCATGTGGCGTGTGGCGTCGCCCCCATGGGGCCAGCTCTGGTCAGACACTAAGTAAATGCCGGCCACGAGCGTGATGCCCTTACGTTTGTTATCCATTCAAGTTATCATATACAACCAAACTGGTTTAGTACATCGATGACCTCTAGCAATGTTCACTGGCGATAGCATCATGAATCAGCTGAGATCTGAGGTCCAGCCCCTCTTGTGACGTCAACTTGAACACTGGCATCCCACGACATGTCAATTTTTTGGTTTTGATTGTTAGACGAATGACGGACAGGCACACTGGCATAAAATCGTGATATGGCCGAAAAGCTCAAGTTGAACTCAAACGCCGAGTCATCCTCGTTTCGTTTCTGCTAAGTTATATGTTGCCGGGATGTTAGACAGTCGAGCGACCAGGACACCCTACCCTTTAATCAGTTAATCGGGTAGACATACATTTTGACCCACGCAGTTCGCCCTCTCCGCCATAATATGTCAGCCTCAGGCTTGCCTCCGATTCCTCAAACGTTACCCGTGGAGGCCAGGAGGACTTACATATGGTAAGGCTAGCTGCCTGGACAAGGTTATTGGAAAGCCAGAAAAGGTTGGGTACCAAGTGAGCGCAAGCTTTATAGTTCTAACGTCTTGATACGCAGGTCATTGAGAAAGCCTCTCAGAATGATGATATGCAGGAAACCGGTGAACTCCGTGAAGCAGGTGTGTTATTGGCAAGGTACGCGCACCGCATGAATAGAGTGGCGATGTCGATGATGTCGATATCGATGTTGATACAAAGCCTGAGGTAGCACGTCGATGATGTTAAAGTCATGTGAAACACGTGGCCCAGCGTCAAGCCAAGTTTGATTATGTAATGATCTGAAATGGCAGCGCAATCCCGTTCTGAATTTTATCAATCCTTGCTGCCATGAACGTTTTTACCAGGGCCGCTCCAAAGAAAGGTTCGGTCATATGGCGTTTTGATGCTATCAGTGTTGACTATCAACAAGGCGAAAACTTCGAGCTTCGGGCGGACCTGAACAGTGAGTATCGTGACAAGCGGAAGGATGCTATAAAGCGAGTCATCGCTAATATGACCGTCGGAAAGGGTGCGTAACATGTTTTTCATTCGATAGAACATATTTGTGAAATCTCTCTTGCAAGATGTCAGTGGTCTCTTTCCGGACGTCCTGAAGAACATGCAAACCGAAGACATCGAGCAAAAGAAGCTGGTCTATCTCTATCTCATCAACTATGCAAAAACACAACCCGACCTAGTCATCCTTGCCGTGAATACATTCGTCAAAGATTCCGATGACCAGAATCCACTCATCCGTGCGCTGGCTATTCGCACCATGGGCTGTATCCGCGTGGAGAAGATTATCGATTACCTCGCGGGCCCGCTACAAAAGTGCTTACACGACGAAAATCCCTACGTGCGCAAGACGGCCGCCATATGTGTTGCCAAATTATATGATCTCAAGCCGGAGCTAGTGTTAGAGAATGGCTTCCTGCAGCAACTTCACGA